TAAGCAATAGTAAAAAGTAAACAAATAAAAAACCTTTAGTGTAATATGATCATCTCTCAAAACTATTAATTATTTGAAGGAGTGTCTATGAATAGAGTATAATATTTAATAATTTTCTCATAATTCTGTATTTTAGACTCATTGATTCAGCTAAACCACATAAATCTACACTTTATTTTCTAGTTTACATTTCATAATTCCTACATTTTACCTGTGAAAAAGTCAACATTATTTGCCCATAAACTTTCGTAAAATGAAATTCAGGTTATGATTTTCTATAAATAAAATATAGAATCTTTTTTTAACCAAGGTATTCAGATTTTAACAAACAGCTAATGTAGAATATTTTAAATGTTAGTAAAATATAAATAATATTAATGTCTATTCTGTTTCATGTTATTAGGCAATATTTGCTAGTTGATAAACTTAATTTACTAATTAGAAATAAATTGGGTTTTAGAGGTCAATATACTCTCCCTTTCTTGGATGAGATTAACATTGAAAGCATAATAAATGTTACCACATATATAGGTTTACACAAAATGACTAAAACTTCACCTAAATAATTGTTTTTACCTTATGTGACTTTGTTTATAAACTTCATATCATTAGAAAACATTTTTTCTAATATTTTAGTTATTGCTTTATTTATCTGGTTTTGACTTGGGTGGTGATATTAAAGAGTTACAGTTTTCCTCAAATTAAGATAAAAATAATTTTAGGCTAAAGGAAAATGCAATTTTGGTCCCTAAAGAAGGGTTTGATGTAATGGAAAGTTAAGCTTAAATATTGTCAATAATTCAATATACTCTCAATTCTTAAAGAAAATACTAAAACAATATCAACTTAGAAAAATAAAAATATTCTAAGCTGTGAAAAGAGTTTTATAACAAATTTCTGGTATTTAATTATTCCTGAGAATTCAATATGAGAAGTTCCAAAGAGAATTAAAATATTAATGTATGAAGTTAATTAAAATTTAAAAACTCAGGTATATGTAAATGTATCTTGGTATAAAGTACTTATATTTTAATATTACTGTCCATAGTATAATTGGTTATTAGCAAATTAATGCATTGCTTGTATTACGTTGCAAGTAAACACTCTTGATAGGCACTGTAGATCTGCTAAGGATAAGATATTGTCCATGTACTGAAGGACAGCTAATAAACCTAAGTATAGGCAAAGTCAAATTGATTTAAATAAAATAGGATTTTTTTATTTCACATTACTCCTGACCATTAAATTAGAAACTGAAGTCTGACCAATTTGGTTAAAAATTTAATTGCTGCATGTCCCAGCACATCTACAACTATCAAATATTCAAAAAGCCTGACAAAAACAATGGGGAGAGGATTTTGTATTCAACAAATGGAGCTGGGATAATTAGCTAACCATGTGCAGAAAGTTGAAACTGGACCTGTTCCTTACACCATATACAAAAATTAAGATGTATTAAAAACGTAAACATAAAACTCAACACTACAAAACTTCTGGAAGACAGCCTAGGCAATATCATTCAGGACATAGACACAGACAAACATTTCATTATGAAAATGCCAAAAGAAATTGCAACAAAAGCAAAAATTGACAAATGGGATCTAACTAAACTTAAGAGCTTCTGCATAGCAAAATAAACCGTCAACAAATGAAACAGAGAACTAAAGAATGGGAGAAAAACTTTGCAAACTATGCAACTGACAAAGGTCTGATATCCAGCATCTATAAGGAATTTAAACAAATTTTAAAAAACACCGTTAAAACATGGGCAAAAGAAATGAACAGACACTTTTCATAAGAAGACATGCATGCAGCCATCAAGCATTTGAAAAGGAAGCTGAACTTCATTGACCATTAGAGAAATACAAATCAAAATTACATTCAGTTACCATCTTACATCGGTCATAATGGCTATTCTTAAAAAGTCAAAAAATAACAGATTCTGACAAGGTTTTGGAGAAAAAGGGATGCTTATGCACTTTTGCTGCAAGTGTAAACTAGTTCAACTACTGTGGAAGACAGCGAGGCAATCACTCACAGATCTAAAAACAAATACCATTCAACCTAGCAATCCCATTACTGGGTAGATGCCCGAAGAAATGCACGTTTTTCTATAAAAGAACATTTTGTAAGTGTTATGTTCATTGCAGCACTATTCACAATAGCAATAACTGGAATCAACCTAAGTACCCATCAATGATAGACTAGATAAAGAAAGTAGGGTACATTTACAACATGGAATACTATGTAGCCAAAAAAGTAAAGGAGATCACGTCCTTTGCAGGGACCTTGATGGTGCTGGAGGCCATTATCCTTAGCAAACTAACACAGGAACAGAAAACTGAACACCACATGTTCTCACTTATAAGTTGGAGGGTAAATGATTGAGAACACATAGATACATAGAGGGGAACAACAGACACTGGGGCCTCTCTGGGCGGGGAGGGAGGCGGTGTCGGGGAGGATGGAAAGAAGAAGATCAGGAACAATAATTAATGGGTAGTGGGCTTAATACCTGGATGATGAAATAATCTGTACAACACACTCACATGACACAAGTTACCAGTGTAACAAATCTGCACAGGTACCCCTGAACTCAAAAGTTAAAAAAACACACACACACACACAAACAAGCAAAAACTCTTAATGAAATAATTCTGAACTAGAGGAAATCTTTAAATACAATGCACACACACAAACGCGCGCCCACACACACACACACACACACACACACACACACACACACACACACAGTTCTGATTGAAGTTTCAAAAAGCTAACATTGTTTCCCCAATAAAATAAAATTTGGTAATGTATTTCCTGACTTTTTTCCTGGATATAGACATTAACTCTCACTGTGTGTCTATTTTCTCAAGCAACAAAGAGTTATAACTCATTGATTTTACTTTTATTTAAGAATCCTCTCATAAGGTGAAAAAATATATATATTTGTAAATCATGGGTTATAATCTAAGTTTAAATAATAAATACATTAAAAGTATTTTAAAAATACATTTTTGAATCAAAAACTTCATGACTATATAATGATAGTTATCTAATGTCATCACAACTGCATATGAAAAACTAATAAAAATTTTTTAAAAACCTGATTCTGAAAATAATGGTTTCTAAACATTGATTTATATTCAAAATGTGAATGAGATATTTTTGTGCCATTCCTGAAAATGATGAAATTTTCACACCCTGCATATTGATATCTGTTTGTTGTTTATTGGGTAGATCAATCTAATAGCAAATAATGAAAAAACATTATTATCCTTTAAGTTAGGATTTTCAGTGATGTAAACAGGCAAATTTATAAAATTTCAAACAAACTTTCTAAATGCCTAAATACTAAAAGATAGCTTGGGTATAAATCACAATGTGTGTATTACCATATGACTTGGGACCAATCTAAACCTGATGAGTACCAAAAAGGGTGAACTTCTTAGTTTTGTAAAAGATAAAAATATATGAAAATGACCCAAAAAGGAACAATTTCAAGATAAGGTTGAAAATGAATTAAAAGTGTAGTAAGAATACTTAGAATTCCTGAGGCTCTTTATCACCCTATTCCTGGATACAAATTTACTGAGCATTGAAATTATATTTCATTTCATTTTATTTATGTGAATTTTCAGAGTTCAAGATTATGCTTTACCCATATTAGAAGAGATACATATGTAAGTTGTATAACACTCCACCTAAACATGTTAATAACTCTGCTAGTTTAAAACTTTTATTATGATAGTCACAGTACTGTTCTCACACTGCAATTTCCTTCCTTTGGAGACATGAATTCAACTTTTCTAATGACTCCTTTTGTTACTTATATCAAGTCAAATTCTAATTATCCTATTTGTTTCTAAGAAATAACTTGTCTCTAATTGTATTTAGCTGGCTCTTTGCAAGTGATTGAATGGTTGAAACATCTCATAAATACTATCCTTTGGATTATATAAAATGTTTTCTGTGGTTCTATCTGTGCTATTAATTAGAGTGGAAGGAATATATCATTACTGTGATGTCTGAAACAAATTATCTAAAGTAATGTTAATTATTTATCTGCAGGAGGAAACGAGCCTAGGATGGGATAGTAAAACTTATGTTTAAGCATTTTACCAAATAGAACAACCAGTCACCTTGTTTGGCTGCAAATAATTTGTTGTGCCTTCCTGAGTTATCTACAGCCAAATATATTTTTTTCCAATTTTACTGGCTTGAAAAATAAAACTAGTAAACTGCACTGGCTACTTTTTTAATGTCCTCTTTTACCCTGTTTGAATTTTTAACATATACAAAAATTTAGTACTAAACAAGAAGTCATGAAATGAGAGATCAAAAAGTCAAGGAGATACGATTTTAGGAAGAGAATATGAGCAAATATATACAGGTTCTAAAGATATATCTTAAAGGTAAAACCTAAAATAACAAAGCAGACAACATTAGAATTACTGTGGTGTCAAGGAAGATTTATTTTTAATTACAAAAAGTTTCATAGAAAAGTTATATAGGAAATAAAATTATGTAAAAGTGGCACAGATCATATGTAGTCTTCTTAAATATGCAATGTAAATAGACGATTGTAGGACTTAATACATAATTTCATGAGGTGATTGTTTCTGTGTAAGACATGCAATTCGTAAGAAAATATGGGCATTCATGTTTAAGGCAAGTGAAAATATCAGTCTGCAGTATGAAATCCACAAGAAAGGTTGAGACCTTAGTCAGTCTGTCACTGCCTCCAAGCCTCCAACTTCCAACTGGGGTATCCTCCAGCAGAACAGAGCCCTTCTTCATGAAGCCAGACCAGGAGTCAATAAATTGTATGATAGAGTTCTAGAGAAGATGGTTGGTTTGTGGGCCGTGTTAACCCATACGAACAAGTGAGCCCCGAGTTAGATTATGACAACCTATGTGTGTCAGTTGTAACAACCCCTCATGTGTTACACAAGCCTTCCTGCACAAACAGAAGACAGCTATTGCTTCACTTGCTGTACTAGTCTGTTTTCATGTGGCTAAAAAAGACATACTGAGACTGGGTAATTTATAAAGGAAAGAGATTTAATGGATTCACAATTCCACAGGCTGGGGAGGCCTCACAATCATGGCAGAAGGCAAAGGAGAAGCAAAGGCATGTTTTACATGACAGCAGGCAAGAGACAGCATGTGCAGGGGATCTCCCCCATACGAAACCATCAGACTTTGTGAGATTTGCTATCATGAGAACAGCATGGGAAGGAACTCCCCCATGATTCAATTGCCTCCCGCTGGGTCAGGTTCCTCCCACGACACATGGGAATTATGGGAGCTACAATTCAAAATGAGATTTGAGTGTGGACACAGCCAAACCATTTCACTTGCCTTGCAGTTGTTACAGAAAATCTCTCTTGTGGCTTGTCTCCCACGCTAACCCGGAACTATGCAAAGAAGAAAATTCTGAGACATGTTGTTATTTAACGTGACAATAAAAATCTACCCCTAAATGATTTTAAATACTGCATAAAGCAAACATCAGAATGTATTGTTTTTTTCTTAACTGCAATGACCTTCACTTCCACTCTGTTTTAGCATTCTTTCATAATCATTTTAAACTGTTTCTCTTGTGAAACCACAAACTGCAGTATGCCTTTGTTTCTTCCAGCTAATGTAATACTCATATCTTCGTTGCACCTATCTTTTCATTTCCCTATATAGCTTTAATTTTTGCAAAGTGTCTTTTTGAAATAAATTGTTTATTGTTTTACTAACACTGTTTCTAGATTCAAAATATAATGCATGTCAGAGCAAGATGATAAATATATGTATATATGTATGTAAATGAATAGATACATGTATATATTAGAGTTGATGTGTGATGTGTGCATTCGAGAGTTACTGTCAAGAAATAGACTCCTGCTGCTATTATCCAGGATGTTATCTTCAAGAGGACTTACACATTACACTACAATAAGCACTATTTGGGGTTTGTTGTTTGCCATGATTAAAGAGACGTAAAATTAGTTACTACATATCTCATTGAGCTTTCAACAACTTTAAGAACTTTTTTTGGAGGACTGAAACTATGGTTTTTCAATATTCACTTCCAGCCAGACCACTTTGCCTGCAAGAAAAAATAGCTCACTCAAACCATCAACTGAAAGAGAAAGTAAAGAAGGGGTGCAGGGGTGAAAAGATGAAGTAACAGTTGTCTATAAGGAATATAGTAATTAAAAAAATGTCTAGAGAAGACTTAATCTCAAAAAAATTAAAGATTATATTCTTTGAAAATTAGAATGCTGTCTTCTCTATTCCAAAGTGCTCTTCCAAAGTGAAATATTATAACAGTCAACGTTAATTATTGCTAAAGCTGCCACTGCACATATTCATAGAACACTGTAAATTCATAAAGATTATTGAGGCTGCTCTGAATCAGCAAGTTCCTGAGGAAAGAAAACAAATTAACAAAAAAAAATTGATTTTTGAAACTATTCAGCTTTTTAAAAAAAAAATAAGTTTCTTTACAGTCTGCTATATTCATGACTTTTCTCAAAACTGTGCTTGTTCTGAAAATAAATGAAAGGTGTTGACATCTGGCACTTGTCTATGCCTGCTGTTGGATCAGAACAGGTATAATGAATAACTTGGAAGTGCTTGTCAATTGTATTTAAACTTGCTAGTTTCAACAATACGTCAAAATTTCAGATTGTCACTAAGTCATTCACAAAACTGAAATAACTATGCAGATGTTTAAAAAGCTAGATTTTGTAAATTATAAAACTTACTACACTTAAACAGAAAATAATTCTTCAATCGCTTATGACAAATGATGAGGGAGTACTTCAAAAAATAAAGTTATCTCTACTAGGAAGGACAGCTTTGCTAAAAGTTAAATATGCAATGTAACATGCTTATTGGATATATTCATGCTCAGACGACCACTTTAGGAAAATGTAATAATTTATTAAAACTTTTCAGAATATTCTCATTAACAAAGTGAAACACTATATACTAAAGCATTATTAAGTTTGGCACATACAGATCTAATTACATAATTTGTGCAAAGACTATTGATTATTCTTTTAATGCCATACTGGAGAAACAGATCTTATGGCAAGCGGCAGGACCAAATAGTTATTTAGCAAACGCAATCAGTATTTTTATCAATTATTTTGATAAAGGTGTACATGGAGGTTATTAAACAAGCAGATAAATAATAGTAATAGAATTGAACACAATTTGAAATGATTAATATTCATAATATCTCATGGATGATTAAAGGAAAAGGTGGTTTTTGTAAAGAAGTGGTTACTATAAATTTTGAAATTATATATGTGTACATATATGGTGAATTAAGTAACATATCAGTATATTTATGTGTATATACAGGACTAATACACATGTGTAAAATTAAATATAGGCTAGATACCAAAACTGGAGCAGAAACACTGCAGCGGAAATAGGTGGCAACATGAGACCAAACACTTGACCAAAATTGCAGTAGAGATTTAGCCTGAACATATGCAATAATGGGAATCAGAAAGCAGGAGCATATCCACAGAGGAATCTAACAAGTAGGCCAGCTTTCACTGAAAGAGCAAACAGGAGTAAAGTTTAATTAAATTCACATGATGTCTCATATTGCCACAATGGTTAAATTTATGGTCTGTATTAATTTATTTTAATGGGTGATAGAGTAAAATATACAAAATAATGTATCCTAATATCTGGAGGGAGCTAAGAAAATGAAGGATATCTCTCTGAAGCTTCCTAATTAGACATAAATGATAGTAATTAAGTGAAGATTGCTTGATTCCAGAAACTACAACCAATATTTTCCTCATTAGTAGTTTCACACAATTTTAAATCACCAAGTTTCCATCATACTTTGAAATTAGTGGTTTGAACACACAATATGGTTCAGAGTTGCGATTCTCAAATGAACATTTCTATATTCATCAATCAGCAATGTGAATGCCAACGGAAAACTGGGCTGAAAATCAGCACAGTGGGTCATTCTGTATTCAGATGTTTACTCAAAAAATAAGAAATATAGAATAAAATAATAGGATATGATAAACAGCTGAAATGATAGTCTCTTATTTCCAAACAGTCTTATATATAAAATAAACATTCCATAGATATTCAAGATAAAGTACATTCATTTTTTTTTTGAATTTCAGTGCTGTTCTCCTAGACCCATTATAGAGAATGAAGACATATATAATTACTCTCCTTAGCCATTTATAAATACTCCAGCAGAAGTGTTATAGAAGTATTTCTTTATGGTCTTGCATGGAATAACTCTCTCATTATAAAATTTAAATATAAAAGTTTAAGATCTTTGAAATTACTAGTAAAATAAAATTCAGAATCACATCTTAAATAAAAATAAAATATTCCCCTGGCTTATTTGTTACATTACTTCTCAACTTCAAATAAACCTATTAAATGCAGTGTTTGATATTCAGAGTCAGAATTGAAATATGTTCACCTATTTCCTTCACTGTGTCATATATACATGTGGGTACATGTGTGCATTTTGTTGATTTTTTTTTTTTTTTTTTTACAATTCATTCTAGTGTCTTCAATATCTTCACTGTGTTTTCCTCTCTCAGAGCCTCTGTAGAAACTTGACATTCACAGGGCCAATGCCATTTATTCGGGCTCAGTAAATAATCAGATAATGAATAAATGAAAATTTCCATGAAATGTTGAGTCAAAGCATAACTTTGTTCAAAATCTCCTGGCCATATATACATGCCTATTTAGCTAATTTTTTTATAATGTAATTTTATGCCAATTATTACCAGGATATTAAAATCATGAGGCCAGTTTGGAAAGTGATTTGAATGTGTTTGATTTCCCCCAAGCGATATAAATTTTGCAATATTGGCAGGCTTCATGAAAAGATTTTTACACTCATGCCCTTATTCAGATGGCATAAATAAATTACATCAATAAAGCATTTTATTAACTCTGTACACAGTAGTAATTGGTTTTGTCAATAAATTGCTGATTTTTATTGGGCATGTCATTTTTAAAAAAGCAAAAAATGCAGCCATATAGGGACCTAAGGCAGAAAATGAAGGCTTTTACAGAAAATATTTTTTTAAATAAAAAACGTGAAAATGTGAATAATATAAGAATTAAGACAGCAAAAACACCATAATTAGTATAACACAAAAAAAATACACTTTAACTGTTTGGATGATATTCTGCCTATGTTAATATGTATCACATATTATTATAAAAATGATTTCCTTTGGGACAAACAGTTCAATATAATCTTTTGAAGCATTGTATTGTTTGTAAATGTCTATATATGTTGTGATCTTTTATTATATCTTTCGCATTCAGAGAGATTTTATTTCATCCACTACTTTATTTATTTGAGTTTGGTGGAATGAGTTAATCTCTATAATTCTCAGTTTTTACATTGTAAAAAAAATAGTGCATATGGTGAAATAATATTTCTCCATTAATCTTATCAAAGTTGTCAACTTTACTATTCTTTTTAAAAACTCAGTGTTTGCTTTTGATGATCCTCATATATTTCCCTTATATTTCATTAATTTCTACTTAGAAATTTTAATCTCTTTGCCCTATTTTTATATGGGTTGGGCTTATCTTGAGGTTTATTTTTTAGGTATTTAGGTTTGATAGTCAATTATTTTAATTTTTATATTCTTTTTTATTAATACAAGCATTTACTGCTACAAATTCCCATTTAGCATGATTGCTGTATCAGTAAACGTTTATATATGTAGTAGTTTTATTAGTGACTCCACTAATTCTAACTGGAGCTTTATTTCTATTATGATTCCTTCTTTCACTCATCAATTTTTAATGCGTGTTTCCAATTGCCAGATAAAGGGACTACAATTTTTTAGCATTAATTTATCATTTAGTTGAATTAAATTTAGAGAAACAGTTTGCACAATAGATATTATTTGAATATTTTGGTGTGTAGTCTGTTAATGATAGGAAATACTTTTATAGCACTTAGATGTCTGGAGCTGTTATAGAATGCTTACATATGTTAACTCACTTAATCATCATAAGAGTTATAAAGAAACAGTCCCCACCTCGACATCACATCT